GGTGTTGACTCAGGTTTGTGAGTCTTATTTGAAAATATTTGTTGTGCTGCTGGTTTGCATAAAGTTAGCTTAACAGGTAAAGTTGATGGAGAAAGAAAGGGAATATTTACTGTCATCTCACATTAAACACTAACAGGAACAATACTCTGCCCTGAAAATGCTTAATATGTAGCTTCAGATTAAAAATTATGTGGTACAAGACAAATATGATGTTGACTAGTGCGTTTCACGTGTGTGTGTGTTTCCTTTAGTCAGGACTAAACAGTTTGACCTTGATGGGTGGGTGACCACAAAATCGTTTTGTTTTTCCTTTTTTTATTCGGCCATTTCATACAATTCAGAAAAACCTGAAAAAATGATAGGCCTGTGTTTAAGATATTATGAATGAAATGTGCATTAAATGGAAGAACATCAAGATGTGATTGACTTTAGCCATGTTAATACAGTTGACTCAGCCCCTACCCGCTCATTTCATTTGGGAAAGACCCAGAGGTGAATTGCCCCGCCGCACCCCTCCCCTTCCTCTTCTTCATAGACACACGGTGCGCGTGGACGTTCTCAGTCAGCAGGAGCGCCTGCAGCTGCAGGGGGCGCCAACTTGCTGTTTCCAATCCAGACACTGTCATATGACAGATAATAGAAAACCTCGGTGCGGCGCAGATTTCTTTCTTTTTTATTTTTTACCCGGCGCTTGTGCGCCCCTTTTGTGTCATGAAAAAATGCCGCCCCGGGCAACTGCCCTGTCTGCCCGTGCCTAAAACCGCTACTGTCCCCAGGTACCTACACCAGGATCCAGTTGGTGGACTTCAGCCCTGCCTTCAACACAATCTTCCCATACCTCTTCCAAGACAAACTGTCCAAGATCAGGTGGATCACTGACTTCCTGACAGACAGGAAGCAGCAGGTGAGGCTGGGGAGGAATCTCACTGACCTGCAGACAATCAGCACCGGTTCTCCTCAGGGCTGTGTTCTCCCCTCTGATCTTCTCCCTGTACACCAACAGCTGCATCTCCAACCACGAGTCAGTCAAGCTTATCAAGTTTGCAGACGACACCATCGTCATCAGACTCATCTCTGACGGGGATGAGTCTGCCTACAGAAGGAGGAGGAACCTGGTGCTGAACACCCAGAAGACAGCGGAGGTTGTTGTGGACTTTGGGAAGCACACAGCCCTCCCCATAACCCTGTCTAACACTCCCATTACGATGGTGGACTCATGTCTCTTCCTGGGTACCACCATCACCCAGGTCCTCCAGTGGGAGCCCACCGTCCTCCATCATAAAAAGGCCCAGCAGAGGATGAACTTCCTGAGGCAGCTGAAGAAATTCAGCCTATCAGTGCAGTCGATGAGGCAGTTCTACTCCGCAGTCATCGAGTCATCCTCACCTCTTCCATCACCGTGTGGTACGTTGGAGCTACCACCAGGGACAGGAAGAAGCTGCAGCGTGTTACACGCTCTGCTGAGAAGGTCACTGGCTGCTAACTCCCCTCCATACAGGACCTGTACACCTACAGGTCACTGAGGCGTGCAGGTCAGATCACAGCTGACCCGTCTCACCCTGGACACAGTCTTCTTGACTCGCTCCCATCTGGCTGGAGGTTCTGATCCATTTGGACCAGAACCTCTCACCTCAAGAACCGTTTCTTCCCCTCTGTGGTCGGACTCATGAACAACAATCGTAGACCCGCCCACTCCAGCTGCTTGGTTCCAGTCACATGACCCGGTGTTGTGTTTGCACCTGATCTGACCCGCTCTGACCTGTACCTACACTGACTTGTATGAAGCAGCTGCTTCTCTAATTATTGCCTCCTTATATTATTATCATTAACTTAATTCTAATTTTGCTCATCATTTATTTTTCTTGCACCAAGAACAGCAGCAGTTTCCTAAAGCTGGGATCCTCACACACAGGGATGTAAACCTTCTGATTGTGATTTTATTTGTCAGTGTCACGATGATGGTTAGAGAGGCAGACTCTCCCCTGCTTCCTCTGATTGCACGTCACTGAACTAGGTGTGTTGGAGCAGAGAAACAATTAAAACATGTTGGATAGGAACCCTCATAAGCAGGACTTGACATCACTGACTGGGTCACGTGGCAGGATTCTTGATTTTTGGACATTTTTCCAAGCATGAGAGGCTGCATGCAGGCAATAAAAATCAAAGATGTATCTACTTTGGTGTGGTGTGCATCCAAGTGGCAAAAACTACAAATTACACACAAATTCCCTGACTTTACTCTGTGAGATAGGAAATCTCCTGAGATCAAACGTCTTTTTGGAGTAAAAAAAAATGAGGGGCATGCAGCATGCTTTCACAGACATATACGTAGATGTGCTGTGGACTGGCTGTAGGGAGCCTAAGTCCCGCCCATCTACTTCCCGACCATGGGTCCCCGGAAGAACGAAAAAATGAATGCAAGTCAACGGGGCTAAAAACACTTGTTTTGTGCCATGGATTTCACACATGATGTCTGTGAATTTTAAAGATGCATTTTGATACCAATAAAGCACTTATATTTGAACGGGGGGAACGATATTTTAGGTTTTGTGTAAAAATAAGTCCTGGACTACAAATGGGCTTCACGAAAGTGACCTCATCAAACCAGACATGGAGAAAACTGAGGGAAAAGACAGGAGGAAAGAACCACCATGAATCTGGTCATGTGGTAAGCATCAGCTATGCTAGTGGAGAGGAGACTCTGTGGTGACGCCATATATGCAACGTACTGACATCCGACTTGTAGTTATGTTAATTACGAACTTTTGCAAGCTGATAAATCTCAAAGTACGTGACAGGTGTGGTGGAAACACCCGTAATTAGTTTTCATTTAAATTGCAGTATAACATGTGTGTGATCCAGGGCGTAAGGCAGGTCAGAAAATAGCTCTTTTAGCCCCGTTCAGGGACCCGTGAGCCGAGTTGGAAAGGGAAGATACTTAGGTTCCCTATTGGAGCTACCGTATAGCCAGCCGCCATCTTGGATGGGTCTCTTTTCACTCCCAGTGTATTTATCTCTTCTGGGGAAGGTGCTTACCCAACTAAAAACACGTTTTATTATACTTTTTCACTGTGGTATGGCATGATAGTTAAAATATAAATATAATAAAATATAAACGGGGAGGCTAGAAAAGTCAGTAGTAATCCCATGTGATCTGTTTTTGATAATATGCTGGTTGGTTACCCTGAATTGACACCAGTTGGGTTTGGAGAGTGAGGAGCCCATCCTATATGGCGGCGACACTGTTACGCTTTCCAATAGGACGTCTACGTATTCATGTCTATGCGCACTTACGTCACTTCGCTTTCTGATTGGTTACAATGTCACATTTAAAAGGCAGCATTATTATTTCCTTCAATACTGAACCAAGGCAGTCTACATTGTGATTTATCCCACATTTATGACCGGAGCGGCCCCAATGTGCTTCCAAGAAGTGCTGTTTTCGTTAGCGGTGACAATGCCTAAAGGGTTTGGACTTTTCTCGTAATGAAAACGAGATGCTGATAGGCTAAAAAAAACCTCTTTGATAACAAAAAGATTACGAGATGTGTGCGAGTTTTGTTGACCAGATGAGACTTACAAAAGTTAAAAGTTACAGTGCTGCTGCTGCGGCTGCCGCAGCCTCTGCACCTCCATGTTCCACCACCGTGCAGCAGCACGCGTTCTGATCAACAGACCTGTGAGCACTTCCTGATTGCAGCTGCTTACTGAGGAAGTAAACAGTTAGAACCACATTCAATCATGAGGCTGCTTTTAAATATATTCCTAATGATAACACATTTCCTATCCACGTGCTTTTTGAAAAGGTGATGTTTTTGGGCGGATATATGAAAGCATTGATTTGTGTTTTATCTGAACACATTTTAGACAAATGTTTTAGACTCGGTTATTTTTCTGCTGCCTGGTTCCTGATGACAGGTAGCAGCATAATAGTTTAAGCATGTCATATCTAAATGTTTATGAGCATTTAAACGCTGCCGTGGGTGCAGATAGGACACAAGCTTTACATCACTGTGCACAACTTTTTCTGTGGGTTCATGATAACTCACAGCATTACAGACTGTGGAAAAACGTTGCATTTAAGCAGGTAGACTTTGATGGGGTGGAGGTGTCAGCATTATACATTAGATTGAAGGTCTGAAAAGTCATGAAAATTAAACAAACAGCAGAAATGTTTTATTTCTAAGTGTTGTGTAGAATCCTCTAAATGCTCCCTTAGTGTTCATTCTGGTGAGGAAAGAAATTCATAATTTCATTTGTGAAAGACTACTTAATGATGCACAGATCTGCACCAATTAATCCATTATAAACTGTTTAGTGGTTGTCAATAAAGTTAAAAAGGATTATCGTGTTTCTGGGCACAACCTGGAGCAGCTGAGATTGTGTCCAATCTAAAATAAATGATAATGGCCCACACTTGTATGGCGTCTTTCACAGTCAGAGGACTCCAAAGCACTTTACACTACAGTGTATCATTCACCCATTCACACACACATTCACACACACATTCACACCCTGGTGGTGATGAGCTACGATGTAGCCACAGCTGCTGTGGGACGCACTGACAGAGGCGAGGCTGCCGAGTACTGAGGCCCCCGGTCTCTCAGACCACCACCAGCAGGCAAGGTGGGTTAAGTGTCTTGCCCAAGGACACAACAGCAGAATTCTCTGTCCGAAGCTGGGATAGAACCTGCAACCTTCAGATTACTGGACAACCCGCTCTACCTCCTGAGCTGCTGTGGTACGAAGCCCACCCATGTAAAACCCAAAACCATGTTGTCCAAAAGACCAGGAGTAAAACTACAATGGCAGCCAAAAATACCGCTTCCAAGTGGAACAGAAATCCCTGAACACACCACGTGCTGCATGATTATGTGACAAAACTATCTTCAGAGCCATCACTGTAATGGTGTAGGACTGAATCAATCATTATAATTATCATGCTGTGTGAACCGGGCTTCAGCTGAAACCCTGAGTACGGAATCACTCTGACCTTATAGGGAGACTACGTTGACCCAGATGTTTCTGATGATGAGGAGGAGGAGGAGGAGGATGGTGACAATGATGGTAACTACATTGAACCTTCAGAGAATCCAGCTCCCAGTAAGATACTCAATAAAATATATTCAGGAAATGCATCCAGTAAAAATAACAAAACATATTTATGAAATACTCCACATTGTTTCCATGCTTCTGCAGATCCAATGTCTCGTAAGAGAAACAAAGCTGAAAGGAAGCATCACACATTCCCCGCACACGTTCCAGAGCATCCACCCAGTCCTGGTAGGTACAGGTTCCCTCGTCTAACACGAGTCTGCAGCCCCGGGGCCCCTAATGGCTCTTTGATGAAAAATGTTTTCATAACAACAACATGAAAGATAACATCTAACCATCTATCCAAGCATTTTCATTTGCTTGTACCTGAGTTTGGGTTGTGAGGGCAGAGGCCTAAGCAGGGAGGCCCTGACTTCCCTCCCCCCAGCCACTTGGGCCAGCTCCTCCGGGGGAATCCTGAGATGTTCCCTGGCCAGGTGAGAGACATAGTCCATCCAGCGTGTCCTGGGTCTTCCTTTGGGTTTCCTCCCAGTTGTACGTGCCCAGAAAACCTCACCAGAGTGGTGTCCAGGAGGCATCCTAATCAGATGCCCGAGTCACCTCAACTGGCTCCTCTTGATGTGGAGGAGCAGCGAGTCTACTCCAACACCCTCCCGGATGAGGAGGGTGTTGGGTTAGCCACCACCAGCCACCCTGCAGAGAAATCTCATTTTGGCCGCTTGTATCCACGACTATGTGGTGTCAAACTCTCTCTGGGAACAAGCTTGACTTACTGCCAGTAATGTGTATAAGGGGCCTAGTACCCCATGCTCCCATAGTACTCCTCCACATGACATCCATCCTCCCTGCTGGCTCTGAGACACAAGGCCCGCAGGCCTCCTGCTCCGTCCTTGTTTTATCTGCCACCACCACAACTTTCTGCTCTTCCTTGGAGGCCTTAGACCAGAAGGTAGGGATCTCACTACTCCCTAGGCCTGCCCAACTCTACTGGACTCTGCCAGCCCCCTAACAATGTTTCAGTCTGCTGATTGCTCTGTCAACCTCTTCCTGGGCTTTCTATTTCCTCCCTGTTTGTATCTGGGGGCCAGCTGCTCTCACTAGTTGGTCAATAGATTCCCTCAGCTCCAGCACCAGCCACGCCGTTTTCTGCTTGTATCCCAGACTGATAGCTGCAGTGCGTTCTTGCCAAAGAGGCCTATATCCGACTGGCATCTTGGCAGTCCCAACCACTTCCTGATGAACAAATTTGCCAACCCATTCATCTTGTCCGCCACTGAGGAAGGGACCTCACATGGCTTTAGAAGCCACATCATCCTTGGGTGCAGCATGACCTGATAGCTCCACACTTTGTACTTGCCGTGGAGTTGGCTCTGGTCGATTTTGTCCAAGCCGTCTGCTAGCTGCATCCTCACGGTTTCCCTCATATCCTTGTCTGTGAGGTCAGCTGTGTAGGTATGGCCAAGGCTACAGACAGGTTGCCTCACCGGCAGTGGAATCTGACCACGGCTAGGGTTGGGCATCGTTTGATTTTGAACAATTCTGATTCCGGTTCCAAATCCTCATTTCGATTCCGGTTCCTATCGATTCCCGATTCAGAATCTTTCAAGACATTCCATGTTTTAAATGATCCAGCTAACCACAGGTTCTACTGGATGAAATAATCTTAACTTCAACATGAATTTTAATTCTATGAACAACAACATCACCTTCATTTAGACAAAAACATGTTTTGGAGAAAAAAAGAAAAAGACTTGCAGCACAACCAGTGTGTTTGTTTCTGACCACAACCAAAGTCTGGCAGAAGTCTCTGGGATGAGAGGCTAAATGTCTCCAACACATCCAGAAACGTCCAGCTGTTTTCAGCTAAAGCTCTCAGGATGATCATGTCCAGGATGACTGAGAACTACACCTCCATGCTGCAGCAGCATTCAGTCAGAACAGGAAGTGAAACTTAAACGTAGCTGCTGTCAGTAACGATCTGCACACACAGCTGGTAAGATCAGCTCTGGAAAGCGTTGATCACAATTTGCAGATCACGTTTATTTTTCACGGAGATCGGCTGCGGATTTCTCTTCCGTCGGCATACTAGGAATTAAAATAAAAAACGTTGAATAATTCCAGGAAAAACTAACAGTTGGAACCGGTTCCAATCAATGCTCGATGCCCAACCCTACAGTGCCCACTCTGAAAATGGTGTGGTCGCTTCTGACCCCTTTTCTGAGGGACAGGCTGTGTGACTTTGTGGATTTAATCTTCATCCTTGCCAACCTTAACAGCTCGTCTATCCTTTCCAGCACGCTAGTCGTACCTGCTGCTGTCTGAAGAATGGTGGTAATATTGTCCATATAGCCCACATGTGTCAGAAACAAGGCCCGCAGGCCAGATGTGGCCCGCGAGAGCCTCAAGTGTCTTAAAATAGGTCTATGCCGCTTCAAAGTGTACATTGGCTATAAACTACATTTCCCATGATGCATGGCGATTGTGTTAGTAGTGCAGTGACTACTCTCTACTAGGTCACAGTGTATCCACATTTGTGTTTAATTAACGCAACAAGAGAAAATAACTATCCAAGAATTTAGCATCCATGCTACTAGCATCAGCGTCTGCAGCATTACTTCCTCTGCCTCGGACAAACACTCCTCTTACTCAGCGAGTTTACTCACAAATTAGCCGACTTTGAAGTCCAGAAATGGATTTTTAACCGCTCAGTTATCTGCTGCTGACAGAGAAAGCACACCGACCAACTTCCAGACTGAGATGATTTAGCTCCAGTCAGTCTGACTATGTAGCTGCTATTATCTCTCCCCCCGACACGCTGACCAACAGCGTTGTCCAGCTGCTCAGCTGCTCTCCGTGTTCAGCAGCACTAACCTGTGTGAGCACCTGTTGTCTATGATGAAGATAAACAGAACCACACAGCTCCTTCCTCAGCTGAGAGCCACCCCCACAGGTGCAGGTGTCTGGCTGGAACAGGTGAACATCACAGTCAACCAGAGCGGAGCACACTGGGCTTCGATTACAGTATTTAGGTTTTATGGACTTTTTCTGCTCCAAAGCATGAAAGTTAAAAGGTGAGATGTTGCATTTTCATTTAACCCTCCCACCCGTGAGGAAAGTTGACCATTGAGCTGGATTGATGGTTTATCCCTTGAGGTCCACATGGCAGGGGTGAGGTGGTGCTCACTCCTCACCCCTGCCACAGAGCAAAACGACAAAGCGAGAGGACCTGCATGTTGTGTGGCTGGACCTTGCCAGTGCATAAAGGTTTCATCCCTCACCAACTCATTGAGAATGCCTTGGACTTTTCTATGTGCCAGTCTGCATAAAAGCCCTGATATTAAAGCTTTTCAAAGACCCTAAGATGTGTTGCACCCATCAGGACTTCCCATATCACTGACGAGTGTTGCATGCACCCTGGAAGACCCTGGTGTTGATATACCCATTGCGGGTAAGGTAGGTGGTCAGCCTCTTGGCCAGGATGGAGAAGAAAATCTTCCCTTCCACATTCAGGAGAGAAATGCTCCTGAACTTGCTAAATGTGGTGGAGTTTGCCTCCTTCGGGATGAAAACTGTAAAGGACTGTTGGAGTTTTATACTTATTCTGGCTTATTTTGGTGTTTGTTTCCAGATTTTTATGAAGTTCCTGACAAAGAGGTAAGATGCTGTGTAGTTATATTGTTTAAAACACTAATTACCAAAATTCTTTGAGAAGTAGGATTTTATTGAAGTGAGTTTGGTGACATCTGATAACTTTACAGGAGACGTCTACATCTCCTCAAACAAACAGGTCAGTTTCATTCTTCTGTCACTGGATTTATTCATGCTTTTGAATAGATATGAAATAGAATAAAATAAAGCATAAAATGTCATTTTTACAAACTTCTGCTCTACATTTATTTAACTGGATCATTTAAAGAACGAACCACCCCCAAATCAACTTTTTATTGCATGTATAAACCAGTGCATCTCATCTTTTTCCTGCTTGCTGTCAAGAGGAGCAGATGCTTTCCTTTTATTTCCTAACCTTGCTCTGCAAGATGGATTCTCACGAGAGTTTTCCAAACTCAGGAGAATCCATCGTGTACCGCTCCAGTTCAAACCGTCCGACCTCTGACCTAAAATAGGCCAAACCAATTATGTGTCAGTACTGTGCTGTAGGGTGGGACTTAGTTTTGATGATAGTTTCAAGCGCCCGGCTAAGCAAAACAAACATGGCTGCGCCGGTTGACGCTAACAGCAAACAATAATCACGATGGCAACACGGTGTCCACAGCCAAAAATGGTCGCAGTCAGCCGTCTTAAATTCCCTACAAACCATTCAGATATGTTTGTACTCGTCTACAGCTGCATGTATAATTGTTATTTACGTGTAGTTTAACATCTAGCATGTTGTGAATCGGTTGTAAGTGTACATCCACTAGGTGACATCCTGTACATGTCAGAGATAGCTCACAACAGATGATAATACATTGGAGTAAAACAAAAGAAACGAAGATTTAGGTCATGTAGCCCCTCCTTGATTGCTCCCAACCTTTTGGATCTCACTGACGATGAAAGTGGGGTGATGGTGCTGAGACCTAGCAACAGGACCAGGTAACTCCTGGCACTGGAAACATGTGAGAATGATGTCATTACCAAATGAGTCATAAAAATGGATACAGGAGTCACTCAGGTCAGTGCAGAAGTCAAGATTGTCTTCTTCCTTTTATGTCCTGTAGCTACAGACCTTAAACCCATCTACCTGCTGTCTGGACCCCGCCAAACTACTTTTAAAATGTTTCAATTGCCTGTAAATTACTTTTTAATGTCTGGTATTTTTCCCAAATCCCGGAAAACCACTGCTGTTAAGCCTCTCTTAAAGGAAAACCACAGACCGATCACCAATCAGGTATGATCCAGTGTAACGACCTTTTGGAGACGAACAACCAGCTAGGTTGTTTGCAACACCACAGCACTGAGACTGCATGGAATCATCTCTGCACTAATCTAAATTATTGAAAAATCTCAGAAACATCGTGTGAATGTAAATATTAACTGTTTGCTTTTGATTTGGTTCCAGATTGGGTCTGGTTTTTGTAAACAAAACTCAATCATTACCAAAGCCCTACCCCAGATGAGACAGCATTTACGTGTTACTTCAGAGTCAGTGGGCGGGGTTAATGCTGATAAAATCAATAGTTCTGGTCTCATCATCATCATAATTACGATTTATGACCATTGAATTGCTTCTGTGTATGAAAAGTGCTTTATAAATAAAGTTGCCTTATGAAATGATGAATAACTTCTTTATTTCTGTGTTAATTCTGATTGTAAAGACTAAACAAACTTTTCTAGTTTTTTATTGAAATGCTGCAGATTTTGCATTGACTATCTTATTTCATTAACATTGAGCTGTTTTGTGTTCCTGTGTTTTCTAGGATGAACAGGAGGTCTCCCCCACCTCCTGTAAGTACAAACGGCACTGAAAGATTATTATTCAGAGGGAGTTTAAAACATTCGTCTGTAAATCCTGCAGATTCACGACCCCACTGCTGACGATGAGTATGAAGTCTGTGATCCACATGACGGTGAGTTTTAATTCTACAAGAAAAAATCATTTAAATAACAAAACATTCCTGGCTTTAGAGGAATGTGCCACCTAGAGGCCAACTAGCCAACATGCATACAGAAGTTTCCTTCACAATATACTTAGGAAAAGTGGTTTTATCTACTTTGTAAAACTCGTGCATTCCTGACCTCTTTAATCTTATGATCCTACTAGATTTTTCAAACGTTTATTGTCTTTTATCTTCTAGCCAACTTGCAGGATGTTTGAATGCCGAGTCAGCGTTTACCATTTCTAATGACCTGTACCTCTCTGGGACTCCGGGTTCCTGGAAAGGGTCAACATCACAGCAGCTTCAAACAGGAGCTCTTATTTGATCTGTTTTATTCTTAGATCAGTTTATACATTTGAAGGTAGTGATCGATTTACTGCATAAGTCTGAGTCTGAAGTTTAAATACCGTAAATCCTCTAATATTGGCCTGTATTCAATTAATTGCCGGGTATCATATTTTGGCCGGTGTCGGAGTCGGCGGAGGTGAATAATGGCCGGTTTTATTGTGGCCGGATGGAATGTGGTAACAAGCAAGTACGGAGGGCGGTTGTGTCATCGTCTCACTTTTGATATGCCAGTGATAGACCGCGAGGGTAACTTTAACCGTGCGGAGACGAAGAGGAGGCGAAAATTTGATATCAAGTTCAAAGAGAACGTGCTGATTATGCTGCAGAACACTCTGGGGAGCAGTAGCAGGGGTTGTATGAACTAGTCACTAGTCGACTTCACCGCTCTATAGTGACTTTTTATGCCTGTCATCGACTAGTCGCTGTCACGTGATAATGACCGGCAAGAAGCAGTCCACGGAAAAGACAGCAGCCTGCTGTCAGCAGGTGACAAGCTCCTGCGCATCGGGAGGCAACGCGCTGTGCCAGAGTGTTGGTACTGACACCCGCCGTAAAACGGACATTTAACCAAATTGTGACGTTTACCCTCTTGCAATTTAACCTTCCCCTCACCCCCATCCTAACCTTAACCAGCTTGCGCATGCAAAGCTCTGATCGTTGACGCGCTCCAGACATCTGCGTCCTGAGCACGGCCACAGTAACATTATCAAATCAGGTGTCGCCACCTCAAAAACTAATTTAACACGCGATCGTTCATGTCGGCTCATTTCCTTTTATGTTTTCTGTCTTTTATTCTTTTATTTGTGCCTGATGCGTTTCGCTGCTGTGGATCGGGGCGCATCACCTGTTTTGTCCTCAGTGACGCACCTAACTGACCGGCGAGCACTGCGCTGTTTTTGTGGTCGGTAGATCTTTTAGAACTGCAGTTCAAAGGTAACTCATAAGGTGAATATATATGAACCCAGGTAGCAGTTTTTCTTCAGGATTGAGAGGAGATGCAGGAAGATAATAAACAGACAGGACAGAAAAATAGTCAAATAAAAACAAGTTAGTTTTTGTACCTGGTGGTTGCAACAAACAGACACCACTGAAGGTAATCAGAAGTGAGGAACAGAAAATGAAATAATTATTTTAATGTTTAGAGCAGCAGGAACACTGAGAGGCTGCAGGCGCAGCAGTGAGTTTGTGGCCGCTGCGCAGGGGGAGGGGGGAGAGGGCTGAAGCATAAACTACCGTTGTTAAAAGAAATGTGTTTAACTTTGAAAATGTGGGCGCAATTTTAATTGTCAAAAACTCCAGCGAACCATTAGTTCATTTTGCTCAAATAGAAATTGAGACCTGCCTCTAATTCTGGTCCTCCTTCCAATAAAGGCCTGGAGCTTGATGAGCTTGAGTCAAATACAGACCCGGGCCTGTATTACAGGATTTACGGTATGAGCAAAGAAAGATCAGAACATCATGATCATGTGTCCTCCTCTAGGTGCTCCTCCTCCTCCTTATCTACAGAAGCCCTTACCCAAAGAGTAAGAGTTATTAATCCTGTCTGTCACTTGTATTCACACACCACTAAACTCTGGGCTGTAATCTGAGATGCACATCTGTGCTTGCTCCCACAGATCACCAAAACCACCGTTAGGGCCGGTAGGAAATGTGTCCTCTCATCTAACCAGAATTTCATGTGATACCAGTGGCCTTTCTTTTGTGATGCTCAAATGCAATTAAATCATTGTTTTATTGCAGAAACCAGATTCAAACCCAAAAAAATGTGAAAGTAAGTTGGAAAGTTAAAAAAAGTAATTTGTGTGATTTTCCGCATCAGAGCAGTTAGAGGGTAAAAATCGCACGTATTTACATTTTAGTGGCTGAAGAGAAACAGGTTGTTTTCCTTCCAAAGGTAAAACTCTCCCTGCGGTCCAGGCTGAGCAGAAACCTCCCAAAGGTTTCTCGCTGGATATTAAACGACCAAAGTCAGTCACGCCATAGCACTGCTAAAATAAATCACACCAGGCCGCTTGTTGCTTTGTTTCTGCTGAACTTGTTCTGTTTTTTCTGGACTCTTGCAGAATTCCTTTTCCACATTTTCCCCTTCCCAGTAAGTATAAATAGGTTTTGGTTGTATAATTCACTCTGGGGGATTTGGTGGCTCCCTCTGCTGGTGCTCATGGGCCTCATGCAAATTTCCGTTTAACCAGATGAGAACCTGTTCTCGTTTCCAACGACGATCTGGCCAAGAGGCAGCAGCAACATAGCTTTACACCAAAGAACAACAGATCAGATAAAACAGTTAGACATGAAGACAAAGGACTGTTCTCATATATATATATATATATATATATATATATATATATATATATATATATATATATATATATATATAAAATATGTACGAGTGGAACAGACTTAAAACAGTCTTTAATACTCAGAAGCAGGAACATTCATCAGAAACTATTGTTCCCCACAAAACATTAAAGTGTCTAAAGTAAAGTACCTGAACATGCTCACATGAAGCATTAGAAGATATCAGAGCAACCTCCATACTGAATAACAGGGGAGTAAACCTGCATGTTTTCTACATGTCCCTGCTCAGACACACCTGATTCTAGATCAAGTTGGGATTCTTGTTTTAACTCAGAGCAGCAAAGCCTTTAGTCACCTTCTAACAAGTTTCTGCTCCTCCTGAGAAGAGGACGAGGCTGGGAAGTGTTTAGCCACATGTCCCAGCCTCGTCCTGAGCTCTTCGCATTCGTCACAGCCGCTCAGAAGGTGGAAGTTCTGGCCGAAACATGTTAGCCCAAGGTAAAAACAAAAAACAAAAAAAAACCATCAGATTACTGCTCTGTGTTACATAAGGCGACGGCTATTTAAGCTAACAAATGCATTAGCCCAGCATCAGCTCATAAACAGACCCAGGGAGGGAGAGAAAAGATGCCCACCTTTCTGGAAGCTCCGTCAAGTGCAGCACGCCCAAGCGTGATCAAATGTCCAACCTATGGCCAGCATCAACGATTATACAGGAGTCAGGTCAAGAGCGCGCCCTACAAGTACAAACAAAATGTGGTCTATGCACAATGTTTTGCTATTGGTGTTGCCATGGCAACTCCAAACAGAAATGCAATAGCACAGCTCTCCCGACCAAGCCAGTATTTTAGATGTGATGTGTGGGGGTGCATGCTTCCGCTCCAGCCCTCATTAGTGTATTAGTATACAGTAGTGAGGTACTAGTATTTTCTAGTGTCTAATAATAAATATTAGTATCTTCTCTTTTCTATGTATACAGAAGCAGAATACTAAAAACAGAGACCTTTCTCCGGTGGTGCGGGCCTGCCCATAGGCAATGGATTAGATTGATAAACACCACTCACACACTGCTGGCCCTGGGGTATCAGACAGACCCATCCCCTTTAGGAGAGCCACGCCTCTTTTCACGCGTGTTCACACAGCCTTGTATCACTAATAGACATGCCATGGAGCAGACCCACCAGATCTAGGACAGCTGATACAGGTTGTTTTCCTTTTACCAGAAACCGCTGACAACAACAATGCTGATGTTGAAAGTTGGTCCACAGACCAAGACAAGGTGAGAAGTGTAACTGGTTTTATTTTAGTTTGAACAAGTGATGCTTAACACATTTCTCTGTTGTATTTGCTGCCTTTGCAGGATACAGATGTTTGTAACAAACCATGGTTTGCCCATTCATGTGATCGCAAGACAGCAGATGATGCCTTGCTCTGTTCAAATAAGGTGTGGATCCTGTTATGGGATAAGAGAGGATGGTTTTTGCTTCTCTGGGTTTGACCGGAGCGTGTTCTCTGCTTTAGGACGGAGCATTTATGGTGAGAAAGAGCTCTGGGCAGGATGCGCTGCAGCCGTACACATTAGTGGTGTTCTACAACGGCAGAGTGTACAACATCCCGATCCGCTATCTACCAGCTTCTCAGCAGTACGCTCTTGGGAGGGAGAAGAAAGGAGAAGAGGTAGAACCTTTTACCTCTGTCCTTTCAGACAACAGCATCATCTCGGGCCGTTCAGCATGGGTTAGGGCTAGCTGATGGTGCGTTCACACGAGTGAAGAGATAGCTTTCAGGACATCATTTTATGTAAATCTGACAAAAATATACTTTCCTCCACTGCTGAATGTTTTTCAGTGAAACGCAAACCTCCAACTAGCTGGATTCTGCTCTTCAGATGTTCCTCCAGGAAACAGCTGTTTTACAACATTCTGCAGTTTTTTCATTCTTTCTTAGAAGATTCTCCATTTTGTCTTTTTCAGTACTTCACCAGCGTCCCACACATCATTGAGAACCACCAGAGGAATCCCCTGGTGCTGATTGACAGTCAGAGTAACACCAAGGATGCCACCAAACTGTGTTACCCGGTGAAGCCCTGAAGAGATCTCAGATCTACATTTTGCTTTGAATGTTATTAGACTGTACCAAACTCAGACCCAATTATTAAGCAGAACCAAAGCAGTTCCTACCAATTAAAACCCAAATAAAGAACATGTGGGGTTGTCTTGGCTGTGTGCTACCAGGACTATTGGGCCTTTGGGGGTTGCAGAGACATCGGTTTGGTAACTGGTCTGGAATTAAGAGGCGTTTGGAGGACGGGAAGAACTTCGACTTTTTTTTGTTTTCTGAGATGTTTTCTTGCTGAATAGGTGCTGCTAGTGCTAGGGGTGACTTTAGATAGTGTGATGCTGGTTGGTGTAAATTTGTCCAATTGAACCATTTCATCATTTTACTTCATCCTTTGGGGGTTTTCATACTATGCTTTAAATTTTTATCCTGCTAGTCACAGCTTTCCTTTCTGTAAAGTAATAAATGCTATAGCTTCTGTTGGACTGCATACCATGACACTGTCACCACCATGCTGAGCTGAGGGCAGTGTCCTCCTCAAACACAGTTAATTACCTTAGATCTTAAAGGAATACCAGACCAGGGCCCTCATTCATCAAATGCTCATATAAACTTGCCGAAAATCCACCCTACGAATGAAATCTAGAATGTTCGTACGAACGGCCAAAATCCTGATCTATGATTGTGCTGGCCTCTTGTACGCATGTTTCTCCGCACCAGTCTGCTGATAAATCCCACCTGTATGTACCCAGGTGCTCGTGTCCTGTCAGTCATTTACAAGCATGCCCTCCATGAACCACAACCATGTCCTCCAAAGCTCATGAGGGGAATCCCTGTATTCTTCTCCTGGAGAAATCCTGAAGTTGTCAATAACTGAATCTGGACTGGAACCAGACTGGTGCGGTGTGTTTGTGGGTCACATCCCAGCATCGCTCCAGAAGGATCTCCAACAGGAAGCGGCATCTGCTGAAGAGCCTCTCTGGAATCTCACCAGATCAGAGGACCTGTTCCCTCCAGAGAGCCAATAACAGCACAGCAGCCATGCTTGAATGTCAGGTTCCCGTGGGTCTCAGGCGTCTTTCTAGGTTCTAGCAGCAGGTGTGTGCTGCAGCTGTTTCTCCACTGACATCGTTACTGACAGTTCCCCCGTTCTGCCACTAGATGCTGTTCCTACGCACGGTCAGCGCTGCTCTGAGGAACGTTTCCACACACGCGTACTGGATAGTAAACACACAGGAAAGTCGTTCCTACACATGAAGTACGCACAGATCCGAGTCACGACGGTGGATGAACGAGGGCGCTGGTTTCTGTAGAATAAACTCAGATCATCGTGATTAATGAAAATAATTAGCACCATTAGGTTTAAACATGGATGCACGTAGCATCTATTAATATTATAATCTTATACTTTCACAGTGAATTCCAGCCTGTAACGAGAGCAAAAAAGCAAGAGCCTTGTCAACATGAAGCAGATCCCATCTTGTAGCCAATAATATATTTAAGCTCCATTTCCTATATTTTAATGCTGAAATGTTAGATACTAAAGGCAGTGCACAGGTCAGGTTCAGAGTGGAAGTAAAAGCCCGTTTTGAGTTTCGAAGGGAATTCACTGAGTAGTCGTTAGGGGTTTTTAGGTTGTGTAGGTGCCTGGTGATGTTTCAGCGTTAATGTGAAGTGTTGCTGCAGTAAGACAGTGACTGACACTTCAGTATATCTTTATTGGAATAAACTCTGCTCATACTTTCAGATCAAATCATTATTCCATAAATAATGCTGTCAAACTCATGCATTTACCAGGCACTTGGTGAAAATTCTCAGACTACATTTGTTTCTAAACCATTTCACTGAAAATTAACATGACCCACACACACAGGAGCCCTGTTGCCGTGTAAACACTGAGGGGGCGTGGCTTGATTAGGCGTTGCTGCTGCTTTGATTGTCATAGGCAGAGGTCTGAAACGGTGAGGTCGTGGCTGAGAAATCTGTCATAGTGTAATTCAATCATTTGCATCATTTCAAGTCAGAAGTTGAAGGATTTGTTGGCTGTTTTTAAGCGTTTCTCTGTGAAAGTTTTAAACGTTTATTGAACATCCTCAATTTGGAGAAAGGTGGTTAAGATATGACAGGACTGAAGAGCTAACGGCTAGTCTGGCTGGGTTACCCCATCTCAGAAAACGATTTAATGAACCATCACATTTTAGGACAAATACAGAAATTCCTGCTGGAAAACCAGGAAGTGCTGCTTCACCTGCTGCTCGTCAACAGAAAACAAGAAATGTAGGAGGCCCAGTTGTTTAAACGAGTACAGCTGATCAGTGCTGTTGGATATAAACTACGGCATTTCTCCATACCGAGTCTGTTCCACTAATATTTATAATTTCCACAAAGAGACAACTGAAAATGCCAGACTATCGCTTTAACCCACCAAGAGAAGAGAGGGAGCAACAGCTGAATCCAGAAATCTTTGTTAATTCATACAAGAAGTAATCTGATTACAGAAATAATCCACATAAAAGCATCATAAATAAATGTGGAATAAAACAGCTTATTGACTCGTTTTTAAAACAAAATGCGAGTTACTTGCAGGCCTCTTTTGTAACTAGAACATAAATATGAACGCTACGCTACACACTGCATGGCAGACCCGTACACACACTGCTCCAGAATACAAATCAAACGTGCTTCAGTGTTTCAGAGAACATGACCGTGGCCCTCAGCCCTGGTGTAGAGATCCACTAGGAACCACTGATGTATGCTGCGACTGTGGGACGAACCAAAAGAAAAGATACGAAACCCTGAGAAAGTGACGCTTCCAGGAAGTCTGATTGGGTTTAAATCAACAAAATCCAAATTAAGACTAAAAATAAATGTTTGTTACAGTTTTACTGATCTGCAGAGATCCAGTTATTTATCCAGTGTCAGTGACTTTTCACAACCTGGCCTTTTCCACTCCATCAGGTGTCGCTGCCGATGGGCCATCATGACTTCCTGACTCGTAAAGACCCGGCCGCAAAACCAGCAGGGAAATCTGGACACCGACTCCTGGCTGGGAGACGTCCCGACGATTTCATACTTTTTTCTCGTCAACCTACGAAATTTCAGCTTCAGAGTGAACCTCTCCTGTACACCGGCCGGGTTCTGGGGTTGTGCTGGGTGGTCCGTCTCGGCCGTAGCTCTGTCCAAAGCCGTGAGTGCAGCGAGGGTGCTGTGGGACAGGAGGACTTTCTGCACCTCACTGTACCTGTTCACAACCTCCATGATCCGGGCCACCTGAGGGATGTCGGCATCAGGATGATTCAGCACCACAACAGGCTGGTCTCCGGCTGGATGTTTCACCGCCTGAGACGGATTCATAGCTACTAGTTTCAGGATTCTCTCCTGGCGTCTGGAGACCGGCTGCCACCGATGCCCGGACGCCGGTGGGGAGCGTTGCGGGATGACTTTATCAACTGTTGAATGGACTCTGCTGCAGAGGTCCACTTCTCCATCTTCTATTGCTTCAATGGTCTGATCCTTCTGCTGCGCAGAAAACTCCGGACAGAGATCCTGCAGATCCAGCTCATCTGGAACAAGAGAAGCAGAAAAACACATCTCAGGCTGTGGGATTTGTTCCCACAGGGATGCAAGCCTCTGTCTTTTATTTTAGGACATCATTCTAGGACCCTGTAGTATGAATTGTGCTCATTTTAAGTTCTCTCATCCTTTCGCTTTCTTTTTTTATGTTAAAGCACGTTCTCCCACAAACACAGACCTTAACACCCTGGATAACCACTCCTTTGGGCTTTCTGGGCTTGGTGGTTTTCTTCTCCCCGTGCTGGGAGTTGCACCGTGTTTTATTAATAAAGGAAAAGGGGATACGTGGTCTTACCATGGGATGTGACGGCAGGCTGAACCACAGCAGCAGGTCTCTCCTTATCCTGAGAAAACGGACCATTGTGGGACTTTTGGACCAGCACCTCCACCTGAGTCTCAAACGCAGACCTTGGATCAGTTTCCAGGGAACACAGGAACGGGATTTTTTTCGGGTCACCCGGCACGTCTTGATGCCAAGACTGAAAACCATCAAGTGTGTCTTTGGGTCTGAAGGATTTTACGGATCTGCTGCGAGGTTCTAACTGGAGATTCAAAGTTCTGGTTTCAGGCGGGTCATCAGTAGAACCACTGTTGTGATGCGATGGTTGAACCATTTCCTCAACGGGCCAGCGAGGATCCGACGCGTCCTGATGGACATCCTTTCCCTCGTCATCTCTTTGTGAAACCCACAGGTTCTCCTTCACGAGATTCTTCTTCAGAACCAACTTCAAGGTCTTCCCTCCGCATTTCGAAGCTTTTCTAAATCTGCTCCATCTTTTCCATCGTCGACTTTGTGTTTTGCTTCTTGGTAGGACTCTACAAGCGGATGACTTTTCTTTGATAGAGATATGAACTCCTTCACCCGACACACTGCCCTCCAGCTCCTTGTCCATCTTTAGCTCCTGGTTTTCCCTGTTCAACATGGAAGTGGAAACGTCATTGTGGGGTTTGTTTTCAACCTGCAGAGAAGGTGTTTGATCCTTGAAGCTGGGCTGAATCTGGTCTGGTGGAGTGTCACTAGCACTAGCCTCAGGGCAGACAGCTTTCTTGCCCATGAATGTTTTTGTCTTTAACCTTCTGGGATAAGCGGAAACATTGGGAGCCACCATTATCTTGTTTTTGACCGTGAGGACAGCCAGATCCTGTGAGTCCGTCATGATGCCATTCTCTGACTGGTACAGGTTGACCTCCTGAGGAACATTTGACAGAACAGTTTTAAGAGCCTTGGTCCATTTCTTATTGTTGGTTTCCACAGCGACAGATTGCATCAGAAACTGCTGAGTCTCCTCTAGTGTTGTTTGTGGATCAGACAGGTGGCAGTATTTGTCCAGGAACTCTGTCCCAGGCAGTGTCAGGCAGTCCTGCGTCAGCCAGCATGTCTCCCTAACTGAACTTCTGGTTAATCTGGTCTTCTTTGGTGGGACTATGGCAACTGCTTTGGGTGTTATGGAATGAACTTGTTTCGTCTGTGACCTCAGGTTACCAGTCTTGCAAACATGGTCAGCCTTAGCATGCTTAGAACTGGACCGCTTCTCTGATGCCTTAAAGCTGCAGTATGTACATCGTAGAGTCTGATCAACATCTTCTGCTGCTTCCAGGTTCAAATTATGTCCATAAATGTGCTCTAAAAACACCCTGAAGTCCCCGGTGGAGAACTGCTGGCACAGGTCACATGAGTATTTGCCATTTGGACAGTGATACATAGTCAAATGTGCACTAAACTCAGGCCATGTGCGTTGGATGTTATCGTTGCACATGCTGCAACTAGAAAACGTGTCCTTGTGGCTTAAGAGATGAACCTGAAGGAAGGAGAACTCGTGTGTGCTAAATGTGCACAAGTGACAAGAAAACACTGGTGGGCTGCCCCTGTGCTTGTCCACAAAGTGTCTCACCAAGTCTTTTGGTACATATTCCAAGGTATCCTTGCACTGAGAGCAAGTGAACCTGAGTGTACTTCCGCCATGGTTTGGCTTGTGCCGCCACTGCTGGGATTCCTGTGGAGGATAATTTGACGAGACCCTCTGCTCCCACTCCTCTGCTATCTTCTTTGGTCCATTCTTATCTTGGCTTTGCATAGCTGGGGGCTGAACAGCAGTCTTCCTGAGTTGGAGCAGTTTGTGCCCGTTTTTATTCTTCTTGTTGACACGTTTTTTATTGTGTGCAATGGAGGTGCAAATGTCCACCAAATCCATGGCTTTTCTGGCTTCTGGAGGTGCAAAAAAAACAAAGGAAAATGCTTTAAATGCAGGAATAATCTCAAATGTTTGTTTTAAAGCTCAATTGAACCTCCAATCACAAAAACAAGAAACAAATTATATTAAAAGCCTCTTTTTATTTTGTCATGGCTTCCATATGATGTCAAAGCTAAGGTGGGCAAAGCCATGAATGCTAACGGTCCCTGTGAAATAGAAGAGACTGGCTTTCTCTGCAGCTGAACCCCAGTTCAAACTGGGTGTTTCTACGGTGCGTTACGGCGGCAGCAGCACGTCTCCATGGCGAACAGAAGCTATTCTAGTTATGGTTTGATTTACACAGCGCTGAACATATCTGACGCGCTGCATTTCAGGCGCATCGCTGAAGCATCTCGCCTAGGGCTGCGGGTAAACGATTTTTAAAACGATTATTCTGATGATTATTTTATCGAATAGTCGACTATTCTAATGAACATTTTGACAATTAATCTAGCGATTATTTTTCTATAGCACAAATAATAAAAACCAGAAAATCTCAAATAAATTCCTCAAAAAAAATTGATAAATTGTTACTGTAAGAGAATAAACGCTACAGGCCTTCCATTTTGTATAACACTGCTTTTACTGTGTTGGTTGGTTATGTTCTGGTGACGTGTAGAACTTGGGAGTGCAGGCTGCTGCCTGAGAGTAGGTAGAAGATGGAGTGTCTCCATGCTGCTTTGTTTTGGTCACTTATGTGCGGGAGGCGAGTGGTGTTACGACTCTTCCTGGGGAGTTTGGCTCGTGTGCAAAAAGGAAGGGACCATAACGTGGGATTTAAAAGTTAATTAAGGTAGCGCGACTCGGGTTGCGAATGACCTCAGTCATCAATTCTTAGAACAGTGAGTACTGAAACTCAATCGCCCTCTGGGATTAATAAAGTATCTTTGAATTTGAACTGAATTTGAAAATGATGATCAGGTTTATTTACAACAACAAAAAACATAATATTTCTATCCACAGGTTGGGAATAATTAAACTAATTCTGCCTGTGGGAAATTAAAACAAAAGTACAAATAAGTAGGGATGTCCCACTGGGCAAAGATTACTGGGTTCTGGACCAAAATAAGGATCTCCAAAGGTCCAAACTCTAAACTGGGTGGTTAAACCAAACTCAAGGTGATATTTTAAACTAAACTGAAAACCCACAACACTCTAAATGTAATAAAAGAAAGATCTACACCACAAAAAAGATGAACTCTAAACCAAAACGTAACAGCTTATCCAAACGCAAGAAGCTGTTAGTGAAAATGCTAACAGTAGCTTTACCAACGTTAAGTTCAAGTTACCAAGTTTAAATAAACCAAAAACACCCAGCAGCAAACAGACCAGCACAGAGGAGACTGCTACCACAAAAACAGCTCTCCTAATGTCTGAAAGAAGCTCCTTTATGAAGGGAGAAACTCTACCGGTGATTTTCTATATCTGAGTGCTCCGCAAAAGGAAGGAATATGATGCGGTAAAAAAGCAGCTCAGGTCACTCGGCACAGAATACAGGCAGATTTACTCTGCTTTACTAAAGGTAACCCTTCACAGATCAACCAGGGTGTTTAACAACCCTCTTGAGGTGGAGCACTACGTTAGTACCCTTGAAGACACCCCGCCTCTCGATGAGTAATTTTGGGACTACACCGGATAGATGCTCTTCTACAAAATTCGGCAGCACGTGGCCTGATGAAGACCAGGAGGCGGGAGCACATGACACCAGTTTTAGAATCATTGCATTGGCTCCCCGTATGTTTCAGGATCCATTTTAAGGTTCTTCTAATGGTTTTTAAGTGTCTTAATGGTCTTGGGCCTTCTTATCTATCAGAACTGCTTTTACAATATGAACCCTCACGGCCTCTGCGCTCCTCTGGCATGCATCTCCTGGTCATCCCTAATGACAGGACACAAACTCACGGCGAGGCGTCCTTCCAGTGTTATGGCCCTCGCCTCTGGAACGAGCTGCCAGAGGACCTCAGGGCCGCAGAGAACGTTCATGTTTTTAAGTCCAGGGTCAAGACCCATCTTTTTAGGTTAGCTTTTATCTAAATATTTACTACAGTCTTATTTCTCGTTTTACATGATTATATTTTATTGCTTGCTTTGCATGTTTTATATGATTATATTTTAGCACAGTTTTATTATTTAATATTATTATTTTACTGTCTATATGATTTTATTTATTACTTATTTTCTAACTTTTGTTATTTATATTAGCTCTTTTATTATATTTTTACTCATTTTAATCCAGTGTTTCCTCTGTAGGGGCCCTCTGCCCCGGGAGCGGTGGTCGACTGTAGCTTCCTGGGCGCTCTATAGGTGGGGGTCTATGCTCCCCCTCCACTGAGCGCCCTGACTTAGTGTGGAAGACCTGATGCTGCCGGGGCAGACGGCTCCTCTGATGGCGTTTCCTTGCCTTACCTTACTAGGCTCATCTGGACTCAGCCAAATATAATTTTTACGTGTGTGTGTGTGTGTGTGTGTGTGTGTGTGTGTGTGTGTGTTAATGTTTTTAACCTGTTATGGGAATCTGGGGTCATTTAGTAAAGCACTTTGAAAAGCGCTTTATAAATAAATTTGATTGATTTGATTGCTCGGCCGAGCGGCAAACTGTTAGGACTGTCTCATAATAGGTGAGTATGCTGATGGATGTAGACTGTATTTAGACTGGAGTAATGAATTATGAATAACTTTGATTGCCTAGTAGGGACACATAAGCTATGCCTCCCTACATCCTGGACAGACATTTATTTTTGTTCCATTAGAGATCCTTTTCACTGGAGCTTCTCTTAGATTAGATTAGGAGTGGGACAGCGTTTACATTTGTGCCAATGTGAGGTGAAGTGTACTTTAGATACACATTTTTTGTTGTTAATTGTTCACATATTGTTCTATATGGCCCTATGTTTAATTGTAAAGTTGACTTTTCACAAGTGATGCTCAGGTGTCAAGGCAATGTCTGGCTTTATAGTTAATTATCTCATCAGGTTTGAAATTATGCACTTGGAATGTGAAGGGGATACATACACCCGTTAAACGAAAAAGGTTTTAAATTATCTCAAGAGAGAAGGTGTACAGATAGCATTATTGCAGGAGACTCGTGACATCGAGCACCTAAAACTACAACAGGGAGGTTTTGGACAGATTTACTTTTCATCTTTTACATCATGAAGTAGGGGAGTGGCCATTTTAGTACAGAAGAATGTGCCTTTTAGATCTCTGGACTGTATAAAAGGACACAAGGGGATGCAATGTGATTTTGAAGGGGCTGCTTTATGGAGAGGAAATTGTTATATTGAATGTTTATAACCCACCTGGCTTTCCAGTTGACCTTTTGACCACTGTGTTTTCTAAAGTTATAAATATTGGCGTCACGCAGACACTGATGGGGGAGACCTTAACTGTCATTTACATCCCATTATAGACAAATCCCCACCTGACAAGTTATCGCCATCTTCTCATGCGAAGATTGTTAATGCATTTTGTGATGAAATGGACTATGTAGACGTAAGGTGGGCTCAATATTAAGGAATACACTTTTTTTCAAATGCATCTAGAGCCCACACTAGAATTGATTATTTTTTACTCCCTAAACTCCTGTTAAGGTCGGTCACCTCCAGTTTTATAGGCCCAATAACCATTTCTGATCATGCTGCGGTATTTATACAGTATTCTCTTACAAATCCTGCAAATCCAAGCAGATTTTGGAGGCTTAATCCCTCTATCCTGACACATCAAAGGTTTTTGTCTTATTTTAACCCTCCCACTGTCCTAATGGGTGAGCCCGTGAGGAAAGTTGACCATTGAGCAGGGTGGATGGTTTATCCCTTGAGGTCCACATGGCAGGGGTGAGGTGGTGCTCACTCCTCACCCCTGCCACATGGACCCAAGGGATAAACCATCCACCCTGCTCAATGGTCAACTTTCCTCGCGGGCTCACCCATTAGGACAGTGGGAGGGTTAAAGAGGAATTTGAGTTGTTTTTGTCAACTAATTTATCCGTGACAAATGACCCATCGTTATTGTGGGAAACTTCTAAAGCCGTCTCTAGAGGTCTTATTATATTCTATACATCATCTAAGAGACGCAGGCATGCCGAGCAGAGGAAGATTTTGGAGTCCAAATTAAAGAGGGCTGAGAGAGTCACTCGTTCATCTGCACAAAAACTTAGAGATAACTGCAATTCGCTGTGCCCTGGACACACTCCTGACTAGAGAAGTAGAAAGTCAAATCAGATTTATAAAACAAAAATTGAATGAATAAGGAGATAAATATGCCAAATATGTCCCTACTTTAACAAAGAAAATGGCAGACTCTCAAATTATCTCTTCTATCGATGATCAAGGAAATGATAATGTCGATATGAATATGTCTCGTGAAAAACATCATAGACCTAGTTATCAAGCCATTTACATGTATATGCAATCTATCATTTATTAAAGGAATATTTCCAGAACATATGAAAACTGCTAGAATGATACCACTCTATAAGGGTGGAAATAAGCATGAATACTCTAATTATAGGCCAATATCACTGCTTCCACAGTTTTCAAAAATTCTGGAAAAATTATTTGTTGTTGGACTGAAAAAGTTCATTAATAGGCTTAGTGTTTTGCATAATAGTCAATATGGGTTTCGTTCTAATCATTCAACTGAAAAGCAATAATTGATTTAGTAGAAGAGATTTCAATAGCAATAGATAATAAACAATTTTGGTGAGTGTCTTTGTAGATTTACAAAAAGCGTTTGATACGCTGGATCATGTAATATTATTAGATAAATTATACAAATACGGGATTAGAGGAGTAGCACATGGGTGGGTCCGAAGTTATTTGATGAACCAACAACAGTTTGTGGAAATTAATATAAAATCCTCTACATATAACATAAGTTGTGGAGTACCACAATGATCTTTCTTGGGACCATTACACTTTCTTTTGTACGTTAACGATATTTCTATGGTTTCTAAATTATTCAAGTGCATACAGTTTGCAGATGGCACCATCTTATTTTATTCAGGAGAAAATATAAAAGATGTTTTAAATGTAGTTGAAAATGAATTTACAAAATTTAAAATATGGTTTGATATCAATAGTTTTATCGATGTTTAAAGAAAGCCTAAGTTTATAGTTTTTTGTAGTAGTAAAAAAAAGTGCTGATGTATCGTTAAATGTTGAAGGAATTGAGAGAAAGAGTTTTTAGGTGTTATTATTGACGAGCATTTATCGTGGAAGTCTCACATAAATGCTATTGAAATTAAAATATCTCGAGCCATTTCAGTACTAAATAAGACGAAGGAATTGTTGAACATAAAAGCTTTGTATATTCTGTATAACTTGTTAATTCTTCCATATCTGACATATTGTATCGAAGTATGGGGAAGTACCTGCAAAACATATATATATTCAATTTTTCTTGTACAGAAAAGCGCAGTGAGAGTTATTAGTGGAAGTGGATACAGGGATCATACGGATCCGATGTTTTCACAACTAGACCTCATGAAATTAGACAAACTAGTAGAATATCATTTATTAAAACTTATGTACAAAGCACATAAAGGAGTTCTACCAATAAATATTCTAAAGAAATTTGTAAAAAGAGAAAGTAATTATAATCTAAAAGGAATTGATATTTTTTTTAAAACCAAGATTCCGAACAGCGATAATGGAAAGATGTATCTCAGTTAAAGGTGTCTATTTATGGAATAGTCTCGACAGTGAAATAAAACAATCTAAATCATTTTCTGTATTTTAAAAAGGTGTCAAACGTATCATGATGAAATAATAGGACCTTAAGTAGGCTGATAGACTTGTTTTGTGTTGGGGGTGGGGGGTAGGTGAACGACAGGCTTTGAGTTGAACAGCTAATGTCTTGATGTGAAAGGGGGGCACATCTTTCTGCTCCTTTTCATTTATGATTATTTGTCAACATGAATTGTTTTAATGTAACTTTTATTTGATTGATTGAATGAAATAAACGAAACGAACGAACAAACAAACGAAAACAAACTTTTGAAACTGCTAATATCAACAATACATTTAGGATTTTTTATGAAAATATATAAATCTGAACTACAGCCCAACACAACTGAGAAAATGGACAAGTTTTTCTTCTCTCTCAAGCTCCCTTGTCTGTCTGAGGACCAGAAAATTAGTCTTGATGCACCCATATCTAAAAATAATGTGCTGCAGGCAATTAAAGAGTTACAATCCGGTAGGTCTCCTGGTCTGGATGGACTCTGTGGAATACTACAAAGAATTTCAGAGCCTCTTAATTGATCCTCTTTTAAACGTGTTTAATGACTCATGAAAGGGACAGTACCACAATCCCTGAGAGAAGCAAATATCTCTTTAATTAAAAAAAGGGGTAAGCCTCCGGAAGACTGCGTCGTATCGACCCATGTCTTTATTGAATTCTAGCGATGCAGTTAGAACGCCTGTTGCCTATTCTGGTCAATGTAGAACAAACTGGGTTTGTTAAAGGTCGTAGCTCTTCTAATAATATGCGTCAGCTGCCAAACACCATCCAGTTTTTTCTGAAGAAATCTGTAAATGGTCTTGTGCTTTCTCTGAATGCAGAGAAAGCATTTGGCCATGTTGAATTATCATATTTGTTCTACACATTGCATAATTTTGGTTTGGGAGAAAATTTTATAAACTGGGTAAAACCTCTATATAAAAATCCTGTCAGCTGTGCTCACAAATGGCTTACGATCTTACTTTAATATCTTAAGGGGAACAAAACAGGGCTGTCCTCTTTCACCATTGCTCTTTGCCCTCATAATAGAGCCCTTGGCTGAGGCTATAAGGGCTAATAAAAATATAACGGGTCTCAATATTGTGAACAGAGAGCATAAGATCACTCTTTACGCTGACGACATTCTGATTGTAGTGATTAAGCCAGAGGTGTCTATTCCCTGTTTGACTGAAACAATAGATATGTTCAGCCAGTTTTCAGGCTATAAAATAAATTTTTGTAAATTAGAAGCTATGCCCTTGGGCACCCTGAAACAAATGCCCGTGAGGCCATTTCCATTTAACATGGACAGAAGTAACAACTAGGGATGTTCTGACCACGTTTTTTTGCTCCCAATCCGATTCCGAGTCATTTGATTGAGTATCTGCCGATAACGAGTCCCGATCTGATACTTTTCAAGAAAGCATTGAAAAAAAGAACACATCCAAATAAGTTTCACTTTTATTTATTTAGGAAGTACGCCAATTAAAAACGTGTTTACATTGTGAATATACTTAAAAGTAGCAGCGTTGCTCTTATTTCAAGTTGTTTACTCCCTCAAAATGCAGCTGAATGTCAGCAATACGTGACGGAGCAGGCAGAGAGAGCCTTCGGCAGACAGGGTAACTTTTCTCTGCATAACACCTGTAGCTCCAGTACCGGTGCTGCAGAAGAAACCCTGATGTTTGCAGTCTGTTGGAAATTTCTGTTTGTTCATTAGTGTAACTTTCTTTGTCGGCTGGCTCCGCGTTTTTGTCCGACTTCACTGTGACTGTTAGAGGTAAACTGGGAAATAATGGAGACAGGTGATCTGCTTTATTGATGCCCGAAGGGAAAAGCCGACAGTGAAAGTAGCTTGTCTGAAGGCAGCGAATCATGGAGCTGTCCTTTCCAGCACGTTGAATGCTCAGTATGCACACATTACAAGTGTCTGTAGCTCTGCCTTTGCTGTCCGGTTTAAAATACCACCAAGCTGCAGATATTTCAGCTCTCCCGAGGAGACACGTTAGCTCTGTGTTAGCTGGCTTGCTAACAGCAGCACTAGGTGTCTAAGTCCTTGCCTGCTGTAAATTTTATGGCGTTACTGTTTTGTTTTCCTACAAGAAACAAGTATTATTGATGTAGAGGGACTTATTGAAATTAAAACAGCCATTTATATTCGATTTGAAAATCTATCTCAGGTAGGGCTGTCACAATAATCGCAAGAACAATATATCGCGATATTAAGAAACCCACCGCGCTGCATGACGTGCCACCGCAATTACCGCACTTGATTAAATCTCGCAACAGCGCATGCTGAGAGGTAAAGTCCGCGCTGATCGAGGAGACAGTAGGGCACTTTTTTTTTTATTTCTGTTAGATGTTGCAGCCAAATTTGCATTTCAAAGTTAAACCTCCTGAATGTTGTTTTTAAGTTCAGTCAGAGAATGCCGTTACTGCCCTTTGATCTGCATTCAATAAAGTGTTAAAAATGGCCATGTATTTTTTTCTAACATTTTTTAAATGTGTAAGCACAATGTTTCAAAGGAAATATTGCCATGAGTTTAGTAATTAACAAACAAATTTGCTAAGTACATGAATAAAAATGGGGTGCAATAATATCGCATATCGCAATATTGAGCTGCCCTGACTCACCGCAGGGGGAATTCCTCAATCGCGACAGCCCTAATCTCAGGATTTATTTAAAAAGTCATAAATCTGATTTATTTCTTGATACAGATCCTTTAAAATCATGTGATCTGGCCCGATTTCCGATCACGCATCCCTAATGCCAACCATTATCAGAGTAGATGGTGATTTTAAAATCATTATTTTAAGGGCCTGTCTCATGTTATTTTACACCTTCAAGAGCAACCATAGGCAGAATATGATCAAATATTACTGTTGGAATGACTGAGATGTCCTTTTTTTATGAAGTAGAGGTTAGATTCATGAACCCATTCCTCCAACCCAGAAATAAGACACTCGAATTAGATCAAACTCCACCTCCCAACATGTGAATTCCACAACAGAACACAGCTGCAGACCTGGAGATGGCAGATTCACGACGACATGTCCCACGTGGTGACGCAGCAACAACACCAGCTAGGACCTGCAGCTGAGACAGGAAAATGCAGGCATGAAGCCAAAATCATGAGGAAATAGCAATATAACATAGTCAAAAGCTCAAAAAAGTAGATTTTGCACAATATAGGACCTTTAAAGAATTCTAAGGCCAGGGACTCACCGGCCGCGGAAGCGCCGCGAAAATGGGGTCGCCTTCATTCGGCGCCCTTGTTGAGCTATTCTATAGACCACATGGGCCGCCGAAGCGCCGCGAATTGCCTCGCGCCGGCGCCCCAGCCCGCGCCGTGCAGCGATCATTTCGGCGTCGGCTCTATTTTTTTCACGAGCCGCGGGTGAATCGCGTCAATTCTGGCAGGAAGTCAAACCTAGACATAAGAGGCAGGCCGGTAAAGTTAACAAAATAAAGCATTTCAAAATAAAATTCCGCAATAGTCAAATGTGTTCGTAATCAGACACTGCAGAAAAACCACACGAACACACACACACATCGAACTTGTGTGCGTGTGTGACCACGTGAAGGGGTGTGTGGTTTTGGGTGTCTTTTCACCGGAGCAAACAGGACAGAGAAGCAGAAAGTCTGAGGCAAGCAGTTAGGATGGATGACTTTAAATTAATTATGGAAGTTGAGAAACACAAGGAGCTGTACGACCCCCGAAAAACATGTTTATTTACATACCCATTTAGGAAGAAACTGCTAGGATACAGCTGCAGAACTGGAGCGGGTTCCAAGAGATTCAACTGGCAGAAACAACTCATACCATAGGTTCACACACACACACACACACACACACACACACACACACACACACACACACACACACACACACACACACACACACACACACACACACACACACACACACACACACACACACACACACACACACACACACACACACACACACACGCGTGCGCGCGCACACACGTAGAGGAAAATAGCTGAGAAAAGGCAGAGAGGAAATGGAGGACACCAAGTGTTTTAAAAGAAAAACTACAGCTGAGCCGAGGCGCGCCTCGACTGGGGCGCGTCTGATCTGAACTGAGGAGCGGCGAGCAGCGGCCGAATTTCGTGAGCGATTCGCTTCTCGGCGCTTCGCGGCGCTTCCGCGGCCGGTGTGTCCCCGGCGTAAGAATGCTAGCAACTAAGCACACTGGTGCCGTAACACTCTCGCTATTAATTGGGGGTTGCCAGAATTCACCCTGCATGATCTAAGCTGTAATGTAATAAACTGCTTCTCCTCCTGATGGAGCCTTGGGAGTCACGGCATGGGTGGAGACTTATTTAATCAACACTTCCTGTTAGAAAAACGCTTCTGAAAGAGGAGTTGCCTGGCGGACCTAGAGCATTACGGAGGCGATGATAGACAGCACCCCTATCAACACCCCGGCATGCACTGTCAAAGATTCTCAGACAAAAAACGAGTTAACGAGCTTGTGCACGCAAGTACAAACTCATGGTAGACTTACTGCTCAGGAGAAGAGTGGACACAGATTCTGCAGCATTCTGGAGGATTTCCTTTTAACTGCGATCATTAGATGAAAAGGGGAGGTGAGCGGCTCAGAGCGCTAATGTGTCATATTGGCAGGTGAGTGGCTGAGCCAGGTGGAGGTATGGCTGCCTCACCTGGACACCAGTGCAGTGCAGCCACGCAGTAGTTTGCTGATAACGTCACGTTTTGAGGCTTAGCCATCATCCACAGCTGTTTCTACATAAATGTGGAGCAGACTTTTAACCCGAAGATGGAGATATAATTACGGTTATGGGCTAAAATATTACATTTAAAGTAAGTTGCACTAAACTGCAACACTAACATGTGTACAGCACCATTAGACACTCATCCGTACAGATTACCAGCAAAAACAAGTTAAGTTAGGTGGTACTCACTTTTTAAAAACTAACATGCGTTTATGTTGACAAGCTACACTTTAGAGTCAAAGAAATAAGTGAAAATGTTTATTTCTCCTGACCAGCTCTGGTTCCATCATTAGGAGGCCACATCTAGCAGAGCAGCTCCATTTTAAAGTCCACCTGTTGGTTTATCGGTGTGTCTCTCGGCTCCATGAAACAACAACTACTGTGGTGCAAACAAGCCTGCTTTGGTATGGCAGACCAACGGGCAGCGGTGGGAGAAAGAAACTTCACTAAACAAAGCCTATTGCCGTTAAACCAGATAACAGCAGCCAGCATTAAACCAAAACAATGTCTTCAGGCTCGCTTTGGTATCAGAACAGCGCAAACGCACCGTTCTGACGTTAAAAACAATGCGTTGTTTAATCATCCAGCCTTCCCCTGATTTGAATTAACGTGACGCACAAGATGAGAGCTCACAGACAAAATAACTTCAGGAATAGACGCGCGGAGACGAAGTGACGCCGCGGAGCCGCTTTTTAACGCCGCGTCGAGTTTTTACAACATTTAAAACCAGCGGCGGCGATTAAAGAACAGAAAACATGGAGGAGTTTGAGCTGTTATCGGGGGTTTACCTTGTTCTGTGGAGAGCTTGACAGCTCAGCGAGTGGCAGCCATGATGGTTCATCCGGGGACTTCAGGCCCTGAGCTCCTTTAGCCTCTGAGCTGTCCCTGGCCTACACACGCACGCGCACAAGCACGCGCGCACACATTCACGCACGCACACAATCTCGCATTAGCACGCGCTTATGCGCACACACACAGACACACACACACACACACACACACACACACACACACAGACACACACACACACACACACACACACACACACACACACACACACACACAATCTCGCATTCGCACATACTTATGCACACACGCACAAAAACACACACACACAACCACATTAGTTCCAGACCACCGTCTGTGTTAAATTTAGGGAACATAAACTCATATTTTTATTTTATTTTCCAAAATAAAAAACATGAACGGATGAAAAAATCCCGGGAGATACCGAGAGTCAACTTCATAGTCCTTTAGCCTATCGTGCTAATATCCTTCTGTGCTATTTGGATGTTTAGACAGTTTCCCAAAAAGTGGCGCGTCCCCCACGGGGTCAACCGTGCGGATGAGTGACGGTGTAGGTACAGGATCTGCTCGGGTGCAGGATCGGCTCGGGGTCCTTCGACTGCCGATTACGTCACATTACTGCAAATCTACTTGGCTTAAGATTCACACATACGTTTTGGAAAGACATCAGCAGTTTTGTTAATAAATTCTTGTTTGTTAACACCAAAATGTTTTCTTTATAATTGTAATTTGTTAATAAAACGCCATATTATCTTTGTTTTGTAAAGAATGTGAAACTGCATAAAACCAACATCGAACTGACAAAACATTAGTGATGGGAATTGCGGCTCTTTTTAGAGAGCCGGTTCTTTTGGCTCAGCTCACTAAAAAGAGCCGGCTCTTTCGGCTCCCAAGTGGCTCCTCATATTTTCTGTTGCGTAGAGTACATGTAGAACAAAAATATGCAAAACATATGTAAAATAATTTACTAATGTAAAAAAAAGCAATATATCAAATGTTTATCATTTCTATGGATTTAATAACTGAACACTTTAAGAAATCTCCACTTTCCGACTGCTGGCGCTCATTTTCTCACCGTCTTTGTCGCACTCTCCTCCCTCTCGCTCGCCTTTTTCCTCCTCCTCATTCCCTCTTGTCTCTCTCCACCTACATGTGCTCTGCTGTCTGTCTGAGTATGATCCTCCTTCTTCCCCGCCCCTACTGCTCTGTGTGTGGACAGTCTGGACACACTGTTACACATGTTGACCTATCGCCTGTAGCTTTCACGGGGGGGGGGGCTCCCAATGATGAGCTGGCTCCCGGGGGGGGGGGGGGGGGGGGGGGGCTCCCAATGATGAGCCGGCTCCCGTCGTTCACTTCAAAGAGCCGGCTCTTAGAGCCGGTTCATTCGCTACCGACACATCACTACAAAACATAGAACAGTAATTATATGTGAAGCCATTTCTGTTTGTATTAATGTGGAGTTCATCTGTATATTTCCTTAGTTGTTATCTAAATACATTCTTTGCCTCAAAATATTGCTTGGTGTCTTTCAATAAAGTTCTTATATTTTATTTTGCCCCATTTCATCAACATCAATTGCTTTTGAGGGTCACCGTTTATCATTTGCTTATATTTTACATTTCCTTTAGAAATTCAAACATATTTTCTCAAAAAGTGTTGATTTTTGGACGACAGGACTACAACCGCTAAGACCACAACCGCAAATTTGTTCTGACCAATCAAAATCATAACGTGACAACGTAACGTCCGTAAGCTTCATGTTCAGCCAATCAACTATTTTGACGTCATCGGCAGTCGAAGGACCCCAAGCCGATCCTGCGCCCGAGCAGATCCTGTACTGACAACGGAATAGTGTGTATGTCACGCAGTGCAAATTTGTGTTTTTGTTTTAGGGTTTTTATTGGCATGGGTTTGATGTTATATTTTTTGTATTGCCTGTTTTTAATATTGCATGTCGTTTTAATAAGTGTTTTTGTTTGGAGTTGACTGTGGACTGAAATGACAGCTCATTGAATACACCTGTAGAGTGGGCGTGGCTAAAAACAAAACTCCCAATTGAGGATAGAGCTGTGGCAGGAGCAAGTGGCATAAAAAGCCAAGGACTGCAGAGCTGGAGGTGAATATATAGTGTATTTATTTAGTATATATGGTTTTATTTATTTTATTTTTATTTATTTATTTTTTTTTGCAGCTTGCACGCTGCATACTATTGAAGAAAGTGAACCATAGTAGTGACCGTTCACATGTAATCAGGTGGGTGGCGGTCAGTGGCGGGCGGTGCGTTCCACCCCTGGGCCTTCAGTGATTTCCTATTCAGTCCAATCTAATTTAATCCACCTTAAAATACCATCAATAGGACATCACAGCTGGAGAAACCTCACACACATACACACACACACACACACACACACACACACACACACACACACACACACACCAGTGGCTGGTCAAGACACATAATTTCCAGAGTCTTTAAAATCAAACTCGCATTCCCAGTTGAGAGTAGGAAGCTGACCACGGATACCGTCAAATCTCAGAAATGAAAGACGGGTTTAAGAGATGAGACAATAAAATAAATAACTAAAGCAAACACATTATTTGCATTTGTTTTGGAGAAAATTGTACCGCGAAACAATTGAACATGTTGGCGCAGCTGCACACACCACGTCATACACAATATAAATTGCATAGAAACAGAACACAGAATAATTTCATTTTGCCATTTTATTTCGTTACCATTTATTGATTATTAACAAAATAAAATGACAAAACATTAAAAAAAATACTAATAAAATGTTTCTACTCACCAACATAAATGTCCAGCATGGATCTCCTCCTCTCCTGCTCATTAGAAAATAAAATCCATCCTTCTTTCTTTCCTCAGGAAAACCTCAATGGCTCTGTACAGTTTATCTGTGTGCTTCAGGTCCATGAGTGGATCCTTTTCTATGGACATGGAGGCTAATGCTGAAAGACGTGTCTGCCCGGTCGTGTTTCTGTCGTACATTTTAACGCGCTTTAATGCTACCAAATCCATCTGATGCGAGCAACAGGCATTCCCAGCAGAATAACCTGCAGCGGTTCTCTGAAGCTGTTAGCCATGGGTACCGTTCATAGTTGCTTGCCTGAAAATGACGAACAAATCCTTTCCCCTGCTGGGACAAGCCAGCTAGCGTTGGAGTCAGACGACCTGTTCTCACAATATCCATTTTTTCTTGAAAGGTCCGTCTTGAAAATGGTGTGGCAAGTAAGTTAATCTGCAACCAAGTCTGTCTCTTCTCCTCTTTCAGCCATCATTTGTACAAAAACACACCGATAGCTGCCTATAGATACAAATCTCCGTATTTAGTTTTGATATTTTGCTTCATGCCGCTAGAAAAGTTCTAACTACTGCTTATCCAATCACAGGATGCGTTCATGTCAACTTTTGCGTGAGGCCAGCTAGCTGGCCTGAGCCACGCTGACTCGTGAGCTGATTGGCTATCGCAACTGGCTCGTCTCTGTTCACTTACAGCGGACAGTGGGCTTCTCGATTGATTCTGAAGGCCTAGGGCAGACTTAATCTGCCTGAAAACACAAGCTAGCTTAAATCTGATTGGATAACACCCAGCCTTGGTATTTTAACACTGGAAGCAGCACAGCCAAGTGGTTATAATAGGATATAAAGATAATAGACCAGTAAACATTTTTTTTATTTAAAAATAATTACCAAAGGAAAAAAAAATACATTTACGCTTTTGAGTACGTTTAGGCCAGCAGAGAAGGCTTTGCTGGCCCTGACTGCCCACCACTGGTGGCGGTAATGCACTAAGTAGCTTGCATCCGCTGTTAAACACTCAAAGAAGAAGAAGAAGAAGAAGCTGGAGGCGAAGAACCAGGCAACAGATTTGATAACACATGGTGTGCGTAAAAATGAGTACCCGCTGCCGCACTGAGGAGCGGTCCGTCCGGCAGCACAGATCGAGGAGCGGCAGATCGGCGACTCGAGGATGGGGCGTTTATTTAATCTGCCGCTCTGAAAATGTGCGCTGCAGTTAGAAAATTAGAATGCTGCTTTTTTTCCTAATTGCACAAGAGCGCATTTTCAGAGCAAATTAAATTTACAAATGCATCCAATTAATACAGTGTTCTTTAATTTCATCTGCCACTCGAAAAATACGCTCTGTTAGAAAAAAAGCTGCATTGATTGCTGTTTTTCTTTCTTTTCTTTCTTTTTTTTTAACTGCAGAACGCTTCTCACAGATAATTAGAATGCTGAGCATTCTATCACGCTAAAACATTATGAAAGGTTAAAAAAATGTCGGGCTCGGGTCAGGCCAGAGAATCCTGAAAACCTTTTCGGACCGGGTCGGGCTGGGGCTCCACCCTCTCGGGCCAGGCCGGACACGGGCTCAGATTTTAGGCCCGTGCAGGGCTCTACCCAGGATTCTATCAGGTTCGACTTAGGGTGGTTCGAATGCCACAGGGGAACGGTACTGATGGGACTGGACCTGCTCCTGGTGCTGTGGAACATTATTTTCCTCCTATTAGGGGACTTCTAGTGCTTGTAGAGAAGCTTTTTGTTGACTTTTTAATCTATTACAGAAAAGAGACTGTTGTTGGTGCCATTTTATAATGTTCTCACCCGTAGGGAACAAAAGTGAAAACCCTCTGCTTTGTATTCAGGTCCCTGGGTTCTGATTCCGCTGCTCCCCCTTGGTTAAAGGTGACCTTGAGTCGGCTGTGTCAGATTTACGGCCAAACATGTACGCCAACGCAAGGGACAGATAGCAGTTGACAAATGAAGTGAGGAAAATGACAAGGTCAGAGGAGGACCAGGAGTAAGTAACAGGCTGAAAGCTGAAGCCAGAACCTGAAGAGAGCTTACACAGTACACTAACCCGAACCATGGTCGGACCGTTGCACGTAACACGTTTCAAAGAAGCGGGAGAAAGAGCAAAGAAGATGTTATTATAGAAAG